ATAAATTGAATTTCTAATTTAAAACCATCTCACTAAGCAAACTCTAAGCCCAAGTTATGTCTTTGGTTAATACTAACAAACATTTAAGGAGGAAATAATATTAAGCTTAGACAAATTGTTTCAGAAGATATAGGAAAAGAAAATGATTTTCGACTCATTATGTGAAGGCAGAATAATCCTGGCACCAAAAACAAACACACTGTAGGGCTGGACCCGTGGTTCACTCAGGAGAGTGTGGCGCTGGTAGCACCGAGGCCGCGGGTTCAGATCCTATATAGGGATGGCTGGTGTGCTCACTGGCTGAGCGTGATGCAGACAACACCCTGCCGAGGGTTGTGATCCCCTTACCGGTAAAAAAAAAAAAAAAAAAAAAAAACATTGTTAAAATAAAGGATAAATATAGGCCAATATCTTCCTTGAGCACAGATCTAAAATTCCTTACAAAATATTAGCAGATTGAATCCAGTATTAGTAAAAAGAGTAATACACAGTGACTGAACAAGTTTATTCTAGGGATGCATAGTATTTTTCTTTTCTTCTTATTTTTTGGCATGTAGGTTATCTGTATTTACTTTTTATTATTTTATTTTAAAATTTTATGTATAGTAAAATTTATATTTTTTTCATGAATAGCATTTTAAGATTTTGACAAAAGCATAGTGTCATGTAAACACTACATACCATTAGGATATAGAACAGTTCAATCACCTAAGAAAATTCCTTTGTTCTGCCCCTTTTTTGTTAAAACCCTTTCCATATCCCTATTCCCTGGCAACCATTGATCAAAAATGTGGATTCTCATTATCATGTCTTCTGAGTACAGATACTTATACAGTAGTTTAGAATTTAAAGCAAAATTAGCTAGACAGCTATATATTTTTGAAAATTAAGAAATGCATTTTAAATATGGACAAAGAAGAAAATAAGAATAATTAAAACTAGAAATTCTTTTTCCAACATGTTGAAACAATAACAAACAACCTATGTTCCTACAAAATAGATTAAACATTATCACCCTTTCCTATGTACTTGTTTATCTTCATTTCTGGAATGTCGGAATTTAAACACGTCATGCCATTTTACTCCTAAATATATTACCATGCATCCTGTATATAATAATAATAAATTTCTACACCTAAGAAAATAAACCATTCCATAATATCATTTAATATCCAGTTCCTGTTAAAAATTGTTTTTATACCATTTTTTGAGCTCAGGGTCAATATTTAAAAATTTCCCAACAGTCTTACACACACACACACACACACACACACACACACACACACTTTTTTTTTTCACTTAACTCGGGACACAATCAATGTTTGCCTGTTAAAATTGATTGGTATCTTTTTAGTTTGGCCTTTTTTCTCTGATACAGTATCCCACTTTTTTCCCCATGACATTGAGTTTTTGGAGTCACTTGAGCAATAGCCTTATAGAATATTCCACACTTCAGATACGTCTAATTGTTTTATTTTGGTGTTTTTAACCTGTTCCTTTATCCCTACTATTCTTATGAACCAGAAGTTTTTTCTAAGGCCTGGTTAGATTCAGGTTAAGCACTATTGACCCATATACCTCATAAATAAAGCTGCTTATTTCACAATGCATCACATCAGGATGCATGTAATAGTAATTTGAACTTTTATTAGTTAATCTAAGATTTTGCTTCTTTGCTTAAAGTGGTGACTGCCAATTCTCTCTGGTGAAAGGTATGCTTTTTCCTTTGCAGGTAGCAAATACTCTGTGAGGCAATACTTTGGCAAAGTGTTGGTTTCCTTCCTATTTCACATGTTTTTAGCTAATGTTTCTTTTTTGGCACTGAATGATGGTCCTTTCCTAAATTAATTATTTTCATAGGAGTTGCACAATTATGACTTTCTAATTGTATTGTTCCTATTATATTTATTAGAGACATTATTTTAAAAAGAACATTTCACTGTATTTGGTGAAAATCTTTCTCCAGTAAGGAAATTTCTTGGTTCTTACCTTTTGCCTTTTATCAGAGAAAGTTAAATTGCCCATCCCCTTTATTGGTAGCAAATGAAAGTATAAAGTACTTTCAATGAAAAAATTACTGAAAATAATACATGTCTGAATATGCAGGATGCAGAAAAAGTGTAAATAATAGCCTTAAATTTATAGCCTTAAATGTATAAATTACAAAACTATCTATGTCAACATGTTTGGGAAAAGAACAGCAAAATAAACAAAAAGAAAAAAGGAAGGAGGGAAAAAATAAAGGTAAGAGCAGAACTACTGAAACAGAAAACGTGTTCGGTACAAATGGTGCAGAAGATCAACAAATCAAAGTTTTTGAAGTTTGGCTCATACAGTTGGCTCTTTGAAACTACTAACTCCTGGTGAGACTGAACAAGATAAAAGGAAAGAAATCAAAATTAAATAATCAGTATGAAAATGGGACATCATTATAAACCTGTGGATAGTAATAGATAACAAGAGGATATTACATACAACTTTTTGCCAATCCATTTGAAAACAGATGAAATAACAAATTCCTAAAAAAAAAAAAAAAAAAAAAAAAAAAAGTTAAAAAATAACAAATTCCTAAAAAAAAAAAAAAAAAAAAAAAAAAACTGTTAAAATATACACAAGAAGTAGAAGATCTGAACAGACCTTAGTTACTAAAAATCTTCCTTGGCAGGGAGAGGGGGAGGTGGGAACAGGAAAAGGTTGGTAGATTGGGACAAAGTTACAGTTAGGAAGAATAAATTCTGTTGCTCTATGGTGACAGTAGCTAATAATATTGTATTGTATATTTCAAGAGAGCCAAAACAGAGGATCTTGAATGTTATAACCACAAAGAAATGATAAATGTTTAGGTGATAGATAGGCTAATTATTCTGATTGCATCATTATACAATATATGCATGTATTGAAACAGCAAATTCTACCCCATAAACAAGTATAAAATAATAATAATAATAATAAATAATAATAATAATAATAATAATAATAATAATAATAATAATCTTCCTTAAAGAAGGACCAATAGTTTATCAGGAATATTCTCCCACAAATTCAGGGAAGAAATGCTTCTAGTCTTATACAAACACCCAGCTCATTTTATGATGCTCACATAATTTAGCCACCAAAATCTGATAAGCATAGCACGAGAAAAGAAAATTATAAGCCAATCTTTCTCACGAATAGAGATGCTAACAAAATATCAGCAAACCAAATCCAGCAGTATATAAAAAGTTTAGCACATCATGAACAATTTGCATTAATCCCTGCAATGTAAGCCTGGTTAAACAGTCACAAATCAAGGAAGAAAAATCTTATGGTTAGTAGATGCAGAAAAAGTATTTAAAAAAATTCAACACCCACTCTGATAAAACTCTTAGGAAACTAGGAATAGAAGTATATTTGCTTAAGTTGATCAAGTGAATTTACAAAAATATTTGGTAAACATCATACTTAAATGGGAAACTTTGAAATCAGGAAGAAGACAAAAATGCTGCATAATCACATCCTTTCAACAGTTGACTGATGTCTCATCCTGTGCAATAGCTAAGAAAAATAAAGGTTTAAAAGTTGAAAAGGATGGAGAAAACTCACTATTTAAGGATGATATGACTGTTTATGTCAAAATACAGAATAATCTATACAAAAGTTATTAGCACTAATAAGACAGCTCATCAAGATTGCTTATCTGTATATGAGTAAATTGTAGTTTTCTATGTCACCAACAAAGAGTTAAACAATGAATTATAAAATACCATTTACAAAAGCATTGTTTTAAGTGTCATGGTATGAATCTAATAAAAATGCACGAGACCTCTAAAAGAAACATAAATTTTATTCAGATACATTAAAAAAGATCTAAGTAAATGTGATACACCATGTTCATGGATTGTAAGACTTTGTATTGTAAAGATGTCATTGCTTGTTTCAATGGTTTATAGGTTCAATGTAATCCCAATACAAATCCTGGTCACCCTTTTTTGGTAGTCGTTGACAGGGTGATTTAAAAGTTCTATGAAAATATAAAGGCCCCAAAGAGCAAAGCTACTCTACAGAAAAAGAATATGGTAGGAAGCCTTGCTTTATCACAGTTCAAGACTTAGAAAGCTCCCATACTTGAGACAGAAGAGTATTGGCCCAGGGATAAACAACAGAGTGATGATACAGAACAGCGTCCAGAGTCAGCGCCATTTAGATACAGAGAATTGATTTGTGATAGAGATTGCAATACGAAGCACTTGGGAAAACATCGACTTTAAATAATGATGTTGGGATAATTATCTGTACGGGAAAAAAAGAAAGTTGATCCCTATATCACAGTATTCACAAAAACAAATGTCTGGTGGGTTATGACTATTCAGGATACACACGATTCTTCTGATACAAGTGACTTTCTTTTGCCGTGGACTGTGACTGCCAGTGTCTGCTCCACAACCTTTTTTTTTGGCCGCGCTTCTTTACCCCTCACACCACACATCCAGAGCGCTCTCCCTTCTGTTCCTCCAGATCCCCTTCTGTACGGATCCAAACCTTTTCAATATGGCCTTTCCTTTCGTGTAGTTTTAAAAAACTACGAAGCACAGAGGGCGCAGCCATTTGTCGCTTAGGTGTGGCCTGTGACTGGTTTGGCTCGCGAAGACTGTAGGAGAAAGCGCAGAAATGGTACTGAGCCTGCGCTACACGGACTCCGGCTGCGGAGGTGGGAGGACAGGCGATAGCTGCTGCTTTCCTACCTCGTCGGCTGAACTCGGTGGCCTGGAATGGCTGTCTTGCTCTCTGTACGGCACACCTTCCAAGATGGCCTCTCCCAACACAACGCAATACATGGGCGCAGCCATATTGACGACAGACTGTTCCTTTGGGAACCAGGATCTGCGTTTGTGGGCGGAGTCCTGCCTTCCGGAGTGCTACTGAGGCTGCGCAGTAGCGTGGGCGCCGGCAGCCGGCCCCGTGAGCGGAAGCAGAAGTGGTGTGTCGGAGTGTCGCCTCGCCTGGCGTAATAACAGTACTCGACTTTGAGATGACATTTGATTTCTGCAATAGACTTTAATACTCCGGGGGCGGCGAGGGGACTCCGTGACTTGGAATGTGGTTTGTGGCGGGTGCTGGAAAGGGGCCGATGTTGAAGGCGGCTTCGGGGCTGTTTGAGTCTGGGGCAGCCTGGAGCGGCGTCGTGTTTACAGGAGAGGACCGAGGAAGCGGGGAAAGGCCGTTTCTGTGGGCGGTGACAGCCGGGCTCTGCACTTTCTTCCCAGCCGGAGAGGAAGGCGTTGGGAGATGATGGAGGGGGCCATCGGAGTATGGTTGGTGAGGACAGGGAATCAGGGTTAGTCGTCTGAGGGTCCAGTGGTCCCAGTTTAAGTATCCAGAGGGCCCGTGATGTCCATGTGAAAATAGGTGTCTGGGGAGCTGTGAATGACGGGGGGTGGGGGCGGGGAGGCGGGAATATGGGCATCCGTGGGAGAGGCTGGTGCGGTTGGAACGTGAGGCGGCATATGGTGGACGGACATCTGGGTGCTGTACTAAGCACGGGCGTATTATATTTCCCAGTGTTTTATGCTGAAGAATTTCAAGCATACAGAAAAGTTGAAAGAATAGCAAAATGGTCACCTGTATACCCACCACCTAGATCCATGCATTGTTAAAATCGTGCCATAAATGCCTTGTGTGCGCCTGCGTGCGCGCACAACTGTACACACTTGGAATAATGTTGTAATCCCAGCTTTGTGACAGTTCTGCCATTTGTTTGTGTGACTTTGGGTAAGGTACCCAAGTTCTATGTCAGTTTATCTATTCAAATAAATTGGGGGTATCCACTTCGTGGGTGTGTTTCAAAGACGGAGTGAGATAGTGTATTTGAAGTCACTGGGAAAGTACCGTCATACAAAATACCGTAGACTAAGTGGCTTAAACAAGAGAAATTTGTTTTCTTATACTTCCGGAGGCTGGAAATCTGCGATTAGGGTGCCAGCATGGTTGGGTTCTGTTGAGGGCTCTTTTCTTGGCTTACAGATGGCTGCCTTCTCACTGTGTCCTCCTATGATGGGGGTGGGGGTGGGAGTAAGGGGGAAGCAGGTTCCCTCAGTGTGAAATTAATTATTCACAGCCAGAGTTAATTCTTTAACAATCAGCACTGGTAGGAGAACCTAGGAAATCCAGCTGGAGTTTTGTGTGAAGATGAAGTCTCAAAAAGAAAATCGTGGATTTTAGATTTTAGCTGAGACTTTCATAGCATAGCAGAGTTTAAGGATACAGGCTGTCTTCAGAGGAAGACAGTCTGTATTTGTTTTGCTTTTTTGTAGGCAAGAGGTTAGTTTAATTGTGGTATAATTTACTTGCAGCATTCATCAATTTTTCATACAATTCCATAAGTTTCACAAATATATACCATTGTTTAACTAACACTTGAATCAATGTATAGAACCTTTCCATCAGCCCCAAAAGCTTCCTTGTGCACCTTTACATTTGGGCCCATCCCCCCCATCTTCTCTTTTGTAACCACTTATGTGTTTTCTGTAGTTACATATATCTAATATTTCATACAAATTGAATTATACTGTAGACAGTCTTTGGTGTTTGGTTTCTTTCAGGAAGAATAATGATTTTGCATGTATCATTAGTTTGTTCCTTTTTGCTGCTGGGTAATATTCAGTGGTACATATATACCACAGTATGTTTATCCATTCCCCAGTTGATGGGCTTTTTTTCTTTTGGTAGATTTTCGACATTATAAAGATGCAGTGTACATTCACATACAAGTCAAAGTGGCTGTACCTTTTGTATTTTCAGCAGCGATTCATGAGAGTTCTTGTTACTCCACACTCTTGTCAATACTTAGTATTATCAGTTTTTAAAATTATAGCCATTCCACCATGTGCATAGCAATATTTTCTTTTGGTTTAAATTTGCTATAATTATGCAACTTAAAGCAACTTTTTATATACTTGATTTGTCCTCCATCTTTTGATAAAGTATCTGTTCAAATCTGTCGTTTATTTTTATGTTGGATTGTTTGTTCTCTTATTAAGTTGGGAAGGTTCCTTATATTTTGGAGGCAGATGTCCTTTGGTCAGGTATATACTTTGCAAATATTTTATCCCAACTTGTGGCTTAATTCTCCACTTTTATTAATAGTATCTTTTGAAGATGAAAAGTTTTTATTTACTATTTAGGAAGTCTAAATTTTTGAATTATTTCTTTTACTCTGCTTCCTATTTTAGAAATATTTGCCTAATCCAAGGTCACTTAAAATTTTTCTATTCTTCTAGAAGTTATGTAGTTTTAATTCTTATATCTATAATCCATTTGGAGTTAATTTAGGTATGTGGTGTGAGGTAAACATGAATATCCAATCGTTTTGAGAGTATTTGTTAAACATTTTATTTCTCATCATGCTCATTCTTTTATCTAACTTCTGGAATATATGGATTATATATAAAATAGCATTTTAAATGTACTTGTCTGCTACTTCTATCACTTTTGTGATTTTTGGTCTGTCTCTCTTTCTTGATTTTCAGCCTGGCAGTGGATCTTATTTTCCTGCTCCTTTGCATTTCTGGTAAATTTTGATTGGATGTCAGACATTGGCAGTTTTACGTTGTTATTTGCTGAATTTTCTTCTATTTCTTGAATGTAATTAAGTTACTTGGAAATGGTTCAACTCAACTGAGGTTTGCTTTTAAACTTCTTGTTAGGTGGGTCCAAAACTGTCTTTTTTTCTACAAATCCTTTGTCTTTATTACTGAGGCAATACCCTTAGACTCTGTTTGAAGACAACTAGATGCTTGACTTTTCCTTTCTTGGTTTTCTCTAAAATGGAATAATCATAGTCGGTATCTCATAGGGTTGTTATGAAGATTAAATGAGACAGTAACATGCTTAAAGCAGTCCCTTATCTGAATAAAAAGTTTTCCCTTCCCCCCAAAAAAGACATACAGATGGCCATCTGGTATATGAAAAAATGTTCAACATCACTAACCATCAGAGAAATGCAAATTAAAATCATAATGAGATATTACCTCACACCTGTTACAATGGAAAAAATAAAGATAACAAAAAAGTTGGCAAGAATGTGGAAGAAAAGGAACCCTTGCACCCTGCTGGGGAAATGTCAGTTAGTATAGCTGTTATGGAAAGCAGTATGAGGTTCTTTAAAAAATTAAAAATAGAACTACCATATGATTCAGCAATCCCACTACTGGGATTATGTATTCCTGGATATATGTATTGAAACAAAATGAAATCAGCATCTTGTAGAAATATCTGCACTCCTGTGTTATTGCAGCATTATTCACAGTAGCCAAAACATGGAATTAACTTAAGGGTCCATCAGTAGATGAATGGATAAAGAAAATTTGGTAAATATACACAATGAAATACTATTTACCCATAAAGAGATGAAAATCCTCTTGTTTGTGACAACATGGGTGAAACTGGAGGACATTATGTTAAGTGAAATAAGCCAGGCACTGAGAAATACCAAATGGTCTCACTTATATGTGGCATCTAAAAAAGTTGAATTCATAGAAGTGGAGAGTAGAATTACTACTACTGCATTATTACCAGGGGCTGGGGGGGAGGGGAAGAAGTTGGGGAGCTGTTGGTGAAAGAATACAAAATTTCAATTAGGTGGGAGGAATAAATTCAAGAGATCTCCTGTATACCACAGTGACTAGAGTTAATAAGAAGATATTGTATTCTTGGGCCGGCCCGGTGGCGCACTGCGCTAGTGCGCCGCTTGAGAAGCATGGCGGCGCTCCCGTCGAGGGTTCGGATCCCACATACAGACCGGTTCCCGCTCACTGGCTGAGCGAGGCACGGGGGCAACACCGAGGGTTGCGATCCCGTTGCCAGTCCCGGTCCGGTACGGGGGCGACACCGAGGGTTGCGAACCGTTGCCGGACACGGAAAAAGACAAAAAAAAAAAAAAAAAAAGATTATTGTATTCTTGAAAATTGCTAAGAGAGTAGATTTTAAGTGTTGTCACCACAAAAAAAGAAAGGTAAGTATGTGATGTGAGGTAATGTATATGTCAATGAGCTTGATTTAGCCATTTGACAATGTATACTTATTCCACAACATGTTGTACATGATAAATATATACAATTTGTATTTGTCAATTTTAAAAAATAATGTAATACAAAGAAAAAATGTTCCCTTGCATGTATTGAAACTTGCTTTTATTATTATTTCCACATCAAACAAATCTTTGTTTGAATCTGTAGATGCTGGCATCTTAGAATAAGGCAGCTCCTTTAATGGAAAAAAAGTAGATCTTAAGTCCAGAAATTCATCCTTGCTTAGGACACCCTTGATGAGACATTACCAGAATTTCAGGACAGATACTAAAATTGCTGGCCATTTCCTGAAAGCTGCTGAAAATGACTGAGCTGCAGGTGAGTTGTTTATTTCTCTGTAGATTTGTGGATGTTCATAACAGCATGTACAATCAAAGAGAACAATGTAGATAGATAAATGTAGATAGATAAACAATGGCTGAGAGGGGTATGCTTAAGACTGGGAGACAGAATAAATTATCAAGAGTAGCTAATCAGGAAGAGAGTTCTAACTGTGTATGAGGGTCTTACAAGGTGCTAATAATTAGAAATTTGCCACATAAATAGCAGGATCTAGAACTAAGTTTCAAACACTTCTGTGGTAATACTGGCAACCATTACAAGTGAATAAAAACAGTTAAAAAAGATTTACCTTGTTCAGAAAGAGGAAGCACATGAATTCTTTGAGGTCAGTAAATATTTCCTGGACATTAAGTGTAAAGAAATGTCTTTGGTATTCCTCTTACTCTTCAGGTTTTCTGTTCCAGAGAAATGGGAGAATGAGTCCAGTAAAGTCATCTTCCAAGTGACTCTATAAAAGATATAAAAGGCACAGCTAGAAAATCTTGAAAATCTTTTCTTATCTGTAAAAAGGAGATAATAGTGCTTACTTAAGGGTTATTTTGCAGATAATTGTGTTAATATATGTAAAATGTTTAGAATGATGCACAGCATATAGTAAGAGCTCTCTGTTTTCTTTTATGAGCATCATGGTTTAATATGTAGCACAATCAATTTCTAAAACATAATTCTGAGTATAACATATTTTTGTATATGAAAAACACTGCAGGGGTTACCAGCTGTTGGTGGAAAATGTGTGCACTTGCTCCAAAACCTGTTACTGCCTCTCACATGGGCATCTTTTCTCTTCAGCCTCTTTTCTTGTCTCACTAAATTAGATTTTGAGCATCCCTAATCTGAAAATCCAAAATCCGTTATCCTCCAAAATCCAAAACTTTTTCAGTGCCAACATGACACTCAAAGGAAAGGCTCATTGGAGCATTTCAGATTTTGGGATTTTGGATTAGGGATGATCAATTTGCTATGTATATGCAAATATTCCAAAATACAAAAAAATCTGAAATCTGAAACCCTTATGGTCCCAAGCATTTTGGATAGGGGATACTCAACCTGTATTTGCAGTTCCTTAAACCCAGAATAGTGTTTAATACCTTTACACATGTTGCTGTCTTCTGAAAGACACTGGTCCCCCATCTCTTCCATTTCTGACTGTGAAACACACTACTAATCATGCGAAGTGTATGCCCATCTTGACCTCTTTTTCAGAACTATTATTTCCTTTTAAGGAAATGATAGCCCACAAATTAGCTATAGAATACCTCTGTCATAACCCTTGTTTAACCTTAATACTTTGACATATATAAACTCTCCACAGAGGAGTGTATTTCCCACTCTCTGCAAGATCAGAAACTACTTGAAGGCTGGACCATGCTTTATTTATGTTTTTATTGCAATATGTATAGTGGGTAACATTAAATGCTGCTAAGCTGGGTTATGGATGGTTTTTAGGTAGCTCAAAGGTTTAAGAGACATTTAACATTGTATGAATAAATAAAGAGTAAAGGAGTGAGTGAAGAATGCACAAAGAATTGTTTTAATGGAATCCACACACAACGTGTAAATCAAAACTAGATGCAGAACAATCTTCGTTCATAAATTTTCATAGTAAAAATAATGAGAACCATGTCCTATATGTCTGTAAAACTACATGACTACGCCACTTGTTGGGTTAGGGCCGTAGCTATGCTAATCGTATGGCTAAAGCATTTCATAACTAAAGCCAAAACATTTCATTATTTTAGTATACTAAGTTTCCACTTGTATTGTCAGGGCTAGGGTTCAGACCCTTCAAACCCATTGTACAGACTGGGTCACATACCCCTCACATGCCAGGCTGTGTCATAGACCCCTCACATGCAGGTCCATGCTAGGTAATTGGGAAAGATCCGGGAAGCCACTGGCAGACAACACGAGCTCAGTCCTCAGCAGTAGCAGCAGCAGCAGCAGCTTACAGCAAAAGCAGCTTGCAGCAGAGGCAGCAGTGGTGGTGGCCTCTTGAGGCATCCTGGGGGCACTGGCAACAACAGCTTGCAGCAACAGCCTCCAGCAGCAGTAGCGGCCTCCCTGTGGCCCCCCTGGGGGCAAGGGGTGCTGTGGATCAGAGCAACTCATCCTTTATACTTAAGTCCATAACTCAGGACACCTAAGTGCCCACGTGCATCTACATCAGACAATAGCCAAGGAACACCTGGGTGCATGTGCATATTTTTGTCAAATGCTTGGCAAGATTCTGAACATCTGAGGGGCCCTGACCATTTTCCTCTGTTTTCCCTACAAGGTCTTTTATACTTTGCCCCAGTATATTATCTCCAAGTTAAAAAGGATTTTGTTGTTACAGGGCTTATTGACATTCAATGATGTGGCCATTGATTTCACCTGGGAGGAGTGGCAGCTATTAGACCCTGTTCAGAAGAACCTTTACCAGGATGTAATGTTGGAAAATTATAGCAACTTAATGTCATTGGGTAAAGACAATTTTCCTAAATATCTCAGTGTAAGCCCATTAATTGCCTGTGTTTTTTCCATTGCAACAATTTATGGATACTCTGTTATCCTCAATGATTTTGCACTTGGACTTTTAGAACTTATTTTCTTTGTGATCATACAGTGACTGTACATACTTTCACTTTCCAAATGAAAGGTTTCTATTTTGCTAAGATTTAAATTGTGCATTCCCTGAAACAGAACTTTTTCTTATAGGTTTTAATACTGCTCAGGTTCTCTGTGATTACCTCTTAACAGGTTATCAAGCTACGAAGCCAGAAGCAGTGATCCAGTTGGAGAAAGGAGAACAAGGAACAATAGAGAGGGAATTCCCAAGTCAGTGCAGTCCAGGTGAGTGAAACCAATGCAGTGGGAGATAGTGAAAAGCAAAGTACCAGTTGGCTGTTGATGGGTTACAACCCTTGTTATTTTAATACTTTTTCTCATCATCTCGGAACCTTTAAAGGTGACTTAGAGTGAGTGAAAAGAGGTCTGCAATATGAATGATCTATCCTCCTCTTACAGTCTGCCTTTGTCCATTTGTGCTGCTATAACAAAATACCTGAGATTGGGTAACTTATGAATAACAGAAATGTATTTCTCACAGTCATTGAGCTGCGAATCCAAGATCAAGGTGCCAGCCTCTAGTGTCTGGTGAGGGCCTTCTTGTTGCATCCTCACATAGTGAAAAGCAGAGGACAGTAGGGATGAACTTTGTATCCTCACATGCAGAAGAGGAAAAAGGAGTAAATCCATGCTCACAAGCCCTTTTTATGATGGCAGAGCCCTCATGACATAAACACATCCTATTAGGCCCCACCTCTTAACACTGCTGCATTGGAGATTAAGTTTCTAACAGATGAATTTTGGGGGACCTCTTTAGACCATAGCACCATCCTTCCATATATGACTCCTAGGAGAAGATGTGCCTCCTTTTACCTACTCTGAATCAGATCCTTAACTGTTTTATTTGGACCCTGCTTTTTTGTTTAGTCATTCTTCTTTTGCTTCTTTTTCATTCTTCTGTTAGACACAACCACCCTCATCACCTCCTATTAATATTCATATAACTCTTCTATTATGCTTTCAAGTATTCATAGGATATTTTCCAAGTTTGATGACCCCTTGCCCACAGTTCATAACTTATTATTTGTTTCTCTTATTGAATGTCTCAGGCTTATCTTGTATACTTGCTAGATCACTTTCTGAATTCTCTTTGGATATTTGAGATTCTATCCCTCTCCATTTCATGATAATGGTAGGATTTATTGATTTTTTTTTTCTCTAGAAGTAATTTGGCAAGTTTATGATTGGTATCGGGAAGATTTTGAGAGAGATGAACCTGTGGAGAGAGATTGTAAAAATAATACATTGAGAAAAATATTTTCTCCGAGCAACTTTGTTCCATTCAGAGAAAGACCCTGTAAATGTGACTCAAGAGGATTAAGTTTGAAACAAAATTCAGATTCAAATTTTCCAAGTAAAAACCATGCAGAAATGAACTCTGATGAATTAAATGCTCAGGAGGAATCAGTTTTCTGTACTGAACATGAAAACTCCCACCCTCAAGGCCAGTACTATGAACGTAATTTATATGTAAAGGCTTTCAGCATGGCGACAAATTTTAAAAGACGTCACAGAATTCACACAGAAAGGAAACCTTATGAGTGCAGTGAATGTCAAAAATCCTTTCGATATAAGTCAAAGCTTACCATACACCAGAGAACTCATACAGGAGAGAAGCCGTACAGATGCAGTGAATGTCAAAGAGCATTCAGTACAAAATGTCATCTCACTCTGCACCAGAGAACTCATACAGGAGAGAAACTGTATGGATGCACTGAGTGTCAGAAAGCCTTCAGAACAAAGTATCATCTCATCCTACACCACAGGATTCATACAGGAGAGAAGCCCTATGAATGTAAAGAATGTGGAAAAGCTTACCGGGAGAAGACAAAGCTCAGATTACATTACAGAACACATACAGGAGAGAAACCTTTTGAGTGTAGCGATTGTGGAAAAGGTTTTATGCAGAAGTCAAATCTGATTATCCATCAAAGAATTCATACAGGAGATAAACCCTATGGATGTAGAGAATGTGAAAAAGCCTTCTGTAGTAAGTCTCAGCTTGTTGTTCACCAGCGAATTCATACAGGAGAAAAATCCTATGAATGCAAAGAATGTGGGAAAGCCTTTAATAAAAACTCACACCTCATAACACATCAGAGAGTTCATACAGGAGAGAAGCCTTATGAATGCAGTGAATGTAGAAAAGCTTTTATACACATATCACAGCTCATTGTACATCAAAGAGATCATACAGGAAGAAAACCTTATGAATGCAAGGAGTGTGGAAAAACCTTTAATAAAAAGTCACACTTCATAACACACCAAAGAATTCATACAGGAGAGAAGCCTTATGAATGCAGTGAATGTGGAAAAGCTTTTATAGACAATTCACAGCTTGTCGTTCATCGAAGAATTCATACAGGAGAGAAGCCTTATGAATGCAGTGAATGTGGAAAAGCTTTTATAGACAATTCACAGCTTGTCGTTCATCGAAGAATTCATACAGGAGAGAAACCTTATGAATGCAGGGAATGTAGGAAAGCCTTTAATAAAAAATCATCCCTCATAACACATCAGAGAATTCATACAGGAGAGAAGCCTTATGAATGCAGTGAATGTGGAAAAGCTTTTATAGACAAGTCACATCTCATTGTCCACCACAGAACTCATACAGGAGAGAAACCCTATGAATGTAGTGAGTGTGGAAAAGCTTTCATACGAAAGGCAATGCTTATTGTACATCAGCGAACACATACAGGAGAGAAGCCCTTTGTTTGTCTTGAATGTCAAAAAGCCTTTAGCAGTATGGCAATGCTTAGTAGGCATCAGTTGATTCACACAGGAGAGAAACCCCATGGATGCAATGAATGTGGAAAAGCCTTCCGCCAAAAAAGTCATCTTATTATCCATCGACGGTGCCATACTGGAGAAAAGCCCTATGGATGCATTCCATGTGGTCAGATCTTCAACCAGAAGTCACAGCTCATTAGACATCAGAGACATCACACAGGAGAGAAAGCATATTAATGGAGTCAGTATGGGAAATCCTTTTTTGAGAAGTAGTGCCTTAGTGTTCAACAGAGAAATCATGCAGAGAGAAACTTTATCTGTGTAGTGAATGTGGGAAAACTTTCTCTGTCAAAATTCTTTCTCACTTCCCATTAGGAAATTCATACAAAAAAGAAATGTCAGGAACACAGTGCTGGAAAGACTTCAGTGAGATGTCAAATCTCAGTGAATATAAGAGAATTCACACAAGAGTGAACCCGTGAATGCACAGAAAGTTGGGATACTTTCCCATTAATTTTAGCCTTTAGAATCATCAGAAAACTTATCCAGGAGAGAGATCTTTTAAATGCAGTGAACATGGAAAAACTGTCTCCCAACAATGTAGCCCCATATTTCATTAGAGAAAGACAGTATGAATCAATTGAAAGGTAGAAATCTTTAGAAGATAAATACCATTATATGTCATGAGAAATGAAATCTTGTTGGTACAACAAATATTTTTGCATAGGCCATCATAAAATAGGCAATTTTTGAGGAAAAACCTTATGAATGCTGCGACTCATGGGTTATCTTCCAAACAAGTGAATTTTCCTAACAAAGAATATAGAGGACTAAAGACTTGTGGGTAGGAATGCCTCTGGCATAAAGTCTAAACTCAGTGTGCATCAGAATGTTTATTGAGGAGAAATAGTAAAGTGTAATAATAGTTATTTGCATATAACTGTGATTTACATATAAATAATTTTATAATAAAAGTTTTGATCCTGCCATATTATCATATATTTATAGAAAACATAACACAAAGTAGTTGATTATGAAAAGCAGGAAACTTCAGTATGCTAAATGACACTTTGTTACATGTCTGAATATGTGATAGTCAAAGCAGTAACTTAAGGTCCTAGATGTATGTGTTTGCTTTGTGTCTTAGTGTTTTTTGTAGAACATGTATATAATGATTTTCAAATTTTATGAGGTGATGAGAGAAAGTGATCTATAATGGAATTCTTATTTCAGTTTGTATGTGTAGTTTTCAACAGAATGCAACATCCTTGTAAATTTTTATATATCATATAAATTGCAATGGAAACAATCATGTTTAAGTTTAAATAAGAACTCTAATACCAATGTATTTTTTTCTCTACTCATATATGTACTTTATTCATATATGCAAATGAATCTGGTAGTTATTTTTATGCCATTTGAATAAGTTTTGAAAACCAAATTGTCTTCTAGTTATCAGTCAGAAAAAAATCCATTAAAAATAGTGAGGCTTAAGAGTGATTAGTAATTGCAACTATTCTGTCCCCAGCTGAGTTTTGAAAAAGTAGAAGCTGTTGTTTTCAAAGAAATGAAGATTAAAGTGTCACCTCTGTTGGTGGTATTGTTCAAATGGGGAATGTGGTTTGTACATATGATCAGATGTGCTTTTCACTGCTTCCCCCAGAAAACCTAGTATATTGTTTCCTAGGGCTGTTGTAACAATGTACTACAAACAGGGTGGCATAAAACAACAAATTAGGCTGTAAGTCTGAAACCAAGGTGTTGGCAGGGCCATGCTCCCTCTGAAAGCTGAAACCTTCCTTGCATATTCCTAACTTCTGTTGATTTGCTGGCAATCTCTGGCATTATTTGCATAACTCCAATCTCTATCTTTGCATTCACATGTCTGTCTACATCTGTGTCTTCACATTGTCATTTTATAAGGACACCAGTCATATTGGGTTAGAAATCCATTGTACTTCATTATGAATTACTTCTTTATTTTTATATCATGCTAAAATATATATAAGGATTGCCATTTTAAGCATTTTTAAACATAAAATTGTGGGGAATTAATTACATTCACAATGCTGTCTTACCACCACCATCTCAATCTATTTCCAGAACTTTTTTGTCATCCTAAATGTAAACATTGTGCCATTAAGTAATAACTTCACATTATTCCTAACCCTCCAGTTTCTGGTAACCTCTGATCTACTTCTGTCTAAGAAACTTTTGATCTCATCTGCAACTACTCTGTTTCCAAATAAGGTCATATTTTGAAGTACTGGAGGTTAGGACTTCAACATATCTTTTTTTGGGAGGTGGGACACAATTCCATCTACAACATCTTGTAACTTGGATGTAACTCCATGAAGACAGCCTGAGAAAAGATCCAGGCAGATACTCACACTCATCATGCCTCTGCAGTGCAGACTGAGAAAAAACAATTTGCATATCTGCTTTTTGAAGTATGCTCTGGATCCCATACCAATGGTGCTTAGCAGTGTAACAGCGGATAGGAGAAGAAACATCTCATTTTGCTGACAAGCTAACCCAAACAGAAAAAGGAGTATAGACTGTGTGTAACAACTATTTTGATAATGCACAAATGTGATATTTTATTCATAGCAGTAGCTATTTCTTGCACTTGCTATTTCTGTATTGCTTGGAATTCTCTTTTACTCCTCTTAATAGTTTACTTTTTAATTGTTGAGAATTCTTCAGATTACTGGTATGATTTCTCTCCTGCTGAACCCTGATAAAATACCTTTTATTAAATTTGAAAAATATATAAAACATTTATATTTTTCTATATATAGACATGTATAGACTAGAAAGGAGAAAAAGGTAATAAAAGGAAGAATTCATGAGGGCTATTATTACTATTGTGAAGATTAGGAGCAAGGGGAGAGATTCAATCAGAAGAGCCTATGTCATGCTCAAGTGTATGTATAATATTCTTCTCCCCTCATATCTGTATAGGTTCTATCTATTTTTTGAGCTGCATCAAAATACATAAACATTCCATCTTTACACTTTAGTAACTATGATCAGGGTAAAAATAATTTCCTGATGCTGTTTCTTGAAGTTCACTGATCCTCTGGCATCTTAATTCTGCTATATAGTAGCTATAATAAATATTTAATTCAGATTTTTTTTCTCCCAATAGTAACATTTCCATTTGGTTCTTCATTGTTGTGTTTATACTGAAAACCTGTTGCTTTAGTTTTTTCCCTGATGTTCCTAATGCATTGGTCATCACAGGTTTGGCATCTGTTGATTGTCTTTTCACCTTAAAATTGGTTAGATTCTCCTAGTTCTTTGTTTGTTGAGTAATTTTGTATTGTATCCTGGAAATCTTTTTTTTTTTTTTGTCTTTTTCGTGACCGGTAAGGGGATCGCAACCCTTGGTGTGGTGTCGCCCGCACCATGCTCACCCAGTGAGCGCACAGGCCATTCCTATATAGGATCCGAACCCGTGCGGGAGCGTCACTGCGCTCCCAGCGCCGCACTCTCCCGAGGGCACCACGGGGTCGGCCCGTATCCTGGAAATTTCGAATATTATGTTGTGAGACTCTGTCCTGTTAAAATCTTCTGGACGATGTTAGTTTTTTGTTTTAGAATGCCAGCAACTTGGTTATATTCAGACCATAAATCGTTCCAGTAGTGGTTTCAATGTCAGTGCAGTTTTCAATGTCCTTGTTACACTCTTTGGATGTGCCCTTCACATGAGTCACTTAGGATTCATGAAGGCCTTGAGTAGTGGTCATAACATAGCTCAATTTTCAGACACTTTGTGTCTTTTCCACACATGTTCAGCAGGGGGGTGAGTCTGGAATTTATGTCTGGAAAAAGTAAAAAATAAAATAGAGATCCCCACCATACACCTTTTACTCATGGGGATTGCTTTTCTCTGTCCTCTGGCCATTAACACTAGGTTCTCTTAGTGTCTTTGCTCTTCACATTTGCTGCACATTTTCCCAATCTGGCCTCCCTCAGGCCAAATTTAGGAGATAAAGAAAGAAAAAAATGAAGAAACTCACTGTTGTGAATTGCCTATTTTTCAACTCTTTACTTTCTTCTCCAGTTCCTTGCAATTGTATATTTTTAAAATCCTCAAGTAGTTGCTTTTTTGTTTTCTCAGGAGTTTTTAGTTGTAATCAGTGAGAGTGATAAACTATAGTGGGTTCCTCAATTATGGCCAGCACCAGGAGTCACATAACATTTAATTTCAAGTGATAAACCATCCTCACATTCCTGCATACTTGATTTTGAAGTTGACCCTTTTCATATATTGATGGACTGCTAATAATTTGTTCATGACTTTTACATCTATATTCATGAGGGATTTTTATTTTATTTTATTAATTAAAAAACATTTTTTTTGGTGGCTAGCTGGTGTGGGGATCTGAATCCTTGACCCTGTTGTTGCAACGTGTGCTCTATGCAACTGAGCCAACTGGACAACCCCACTAGGAATCTTAATCTGAAATTGTCAAAGGAGTTTTAATTGGGTTTGTTGCACTTAAAAATTATTTTTATTTTATCTTCTACCAGTTGCAGATGTGCTCTAATGTCTCATCTGCTTGCCCTGCAAATCCTGGAATTGCTGGCATGTTTCTTTTAATTTTACCTTCCAAAATAGCCAATTCTTTTCTGAACTCATCTTTATAAAAATTCCTTGTCAATTCCGGCAGAAAGTAGCAACCATGGCAAACAGCTAATATTTTGTTTTCCATCATCTTCACTCAAAGCCACAGGGTTATTTAGAATCATTTGCCACATGAGTTGTTAAAGTGACAGTTTCACAAATGTTCTGTCATTGAATGAGATGAACCTCTATTATTTCAGCTTCTAATAATGTCTCATCTCCCTTCCTGGCTCCAAAGTCAGTGCGTACATATTATATTTTTGTTGTGGTGGCACCTCACTTCTAGGTATCAATTTATCTATCAGTCAGCATAGGCTCATTTATGTTGTGGTATCAACCACCTAAAAGTCATCATGGTTTAAAGCAAGAATGTAGCATTTACACCTCATGCTACACACCACTATAGGTTTGCTGCTGCCTACTCCATGCCTTCTTCACAGCCCAAACTGAAGGGGTGGTTCTTTGTCATTTTGCTTGTCCTAGAACATGTTGAATCATTTGCAGGTTATTAAAGACTGAGAGTGATACATTTCACTTTCTCTCATAGTTCATTGTCTTGAGAAAATCACATGGCCAACTTTCTTTGGTAGCTGCACAGCAATTAGTTACATTAATTTACTCTGTCACTGAAGTAAATACATGTAAACCCGAATGAAGACTGACTACATAAAGCAATAATAATCATTGTGTTGGGCTTTAGCAATTACATAGAACTGAACGATAGGTAACAGTATTCTAAATTATTTCCATTTTCCTGAAGAAGTACAGAATTATTGAGTAACTTTAGATGCTGCTGAATTAAGAATGCACGTTATGGTTAAGAATGTATGGTTAAAAGTGTGTGTGTGGGGGTGTGGGTGTGTGTGTGTGTGCTGGGCTGGATCTCAGATCCTTCTGCCCCTTCCTGTGAAGATCGTGAGTCAGGTAACTGAAAGAAGATTCTGGCAGCTTTATGCAAGGTAGACATTTTATTCTTCAGATATGAGCTTCACAGATATGCTTTATTCTCAGATATAAGCTCTGCTCTACTCCACTGACCCTCCATGCTCTGCTGACCAGTAGTTCAGAGCAGCTGTCTCTTTTATATTACAAGTACACAATAGTGGCCAAAAGGTAAGTGCATAATGTAACTACAACAAACATGCTGAGTCAATAAGCAGGCCCACATGCGCAATTATGCAATTACACTACTATTACATAACTTGTTTCTAACAACCATGCTGAATCGTGCCTATTTGTAACATATAAGAGGAGAGTGAACCTGAGTAAGCTGTTCTAGTTTGAATTGTTTTCATTTTCCTTACAGTGTGTAAACACACACACACACACACACACACACACACTCTTAAGATCCATATTAACAGTTTCTCACCTTTGAATATTTTTTTACATCTAGGATCCAATAAAAGTTTACTCATTGAACTTAACTGGTATCTTTGTTTAGTCTTATTTTAACCTAGAACATCCTCCCCCCCCCATACACACATTTTTTTTTTTATGACACTGACATTTTGAAATTACTTGGCAGTAGTCTTGTAAAATATTCCCAATTTTGGATTTATTTGATTGTTTCTTTGCAATGTTTTAAATTTGTTTCTTTATCCTTAATATTTCTTATGAATTGGAACTTAGTTTTAAGGCCTGGTTAGATACGAATTAAATACTTATGATCTGTATACCTCATAGATGATGCTGTTTATTTCACATTGTATCATGTGAGAATACATGTACTCTCAATTTGTACTTTTACTAAGTAAGCTAAAATTGTTCTCTTGCTTAAACTGATAGTTGCCAAGTCTACCAGTTGAAAAGGTGTGTTTTTCCCTTCGCAATTAGCAAATAATCTGTGAGATGATATTATGGTAAAGTGTTAACAATGTGTGAGTAGCAAACATTAATGAAATGGAAATCACACAGTGAGTGCAGAAGATTAAGAAGCTTAAAAAATACTGAAATAATTGACTAATTTCTGATTACAGTGTATTAAGAGGTGAAAAATCTTCCTTAATGAAAAGCGAAGGCCCAGATGCTTTTATCAGGAACATTCTCTCACACATTCATAACATAAACATCTAATTCATTTTATGAGACTCATGTAACTTTGTACCAAAATATAATAAATACAGCATGCAAAGAAAAATAAGCCAACCTCTTGCATGAATATAGAGGTAAAATTTCTAATAAAATATTAGCAAACTAAATCCAGTAGTATATAAAGTTTAATACATCAATGAACAATTTGTATTTACTCCCAGAATGGAAAGTTGGCTTAAACAGTTGAAAAATCAACCTTGTGTAATGAATACATTCTCCACATTAACAAAATATGGAAGAAAAATAATATTGTATGCATCTATGATAAAATTCTTAGGATACTAGGAATAAAAGTGAGCTTCTTTAATTTTCTAAAGGAAATTTACTTAAAAATTAAACTTTGCGGGCCGGCCCGGTGGCGCACTGGATAGTGCGCTGCTTGGGAAGCGCGGCGGCGCTCCCGCCCGAGGGTTCGGATCCCACATGCAGACCGGTTCCCGCTCACTGGCTGAGCAAGGCGCGGGAGCGACACCGAGGGTTGCGATCCCGTTGCTGGTCCCCGGTCCGGTACGGGGGCAACACTGAGGGTTGCGATCCATTGCCGGACACGGAAAAAGACGAAAAAAAAAAAAAATTAAACTTTGCAATCAGTCAGAGGTTGAAAATGCTGTGCTTACTACTTCCATTTAACATTTGACTGTAAGTATGTATTACCTCGCACAATAAGAAAAATAAATAAGAAAAAGTTTAAAACTTGGAAAGGATGGGGAAAATTCTGTCATTGAAGACAGACTGTGCATGTCCAAATCCAAAGTGTACTGATTAAGTATTAGAATTAACAAGACAGTTTATCAAGGCTGCTGGGTAAAATGTCAACATATAAAAATCAATTGTTTTTCTTTCTACCAAGAAAGAGTTAAACAATGCAATTATAAAAGAAATACGATTTATGAAAGCATTAAAAAAAATCAAGTATCGGGCCGACCCTGTGGCTCACTCAGGAGAGTGCAGCGCTGGGAGTGCCGAGGCTGTAGGTTCGGATCCTATATAGGGATGGCCGGTGCGCTCACTGGCTGAGCGCGGTGCGGGTGACACCAAGCCAGGGG